CTGTTTGCCAGTTTCTACCGTAGCAGTTCGGAAAAGTGACTCATAGGGCTCCCTCTCTGGTTCCCAAAGTCATCCATTGTCTCTCCATTACCGTTCATCCTGGTGGAACGTCTCTATCTGCAGAGGAGCACAGCAAGAGCTCCATGGCACTATCCAATTAAGCGAAGATGGTTCTCTCTTTTCACGTACCTCATATTGAAACAAAAGGAAAATGTCTTTCCTTACATCTCTTGACTTTAGGTGGGAGAAGGAGGCAAGATTTTCTGATATTAAGAAAAGCAGACATCCCATTCTAGCTTGTCATTTATACTTAATGTTTAGGAAGGCCAACATCTAGGCTATGATGGGACAAGCACGTCTAGTAACTCTCTCCAGATGCCTTCATGTTTCAGGGGTACCTTCATCCTTAATGTTCATCTCTCCAAGATGAGCCACACAGACCGTCCTGTCTCTCCAACATTTGGCTCAGATCAAAGAAACGTTCCTGAATCACGAAGAACGTCATCCTTTACTGTTTTTTTTTTTTTTAAGCCAGCTACCAAGCCACTTCTGTGTGCAAGTGTGTGCCCTCAAGGCAGTGTTGATTCTTGGCAACTGCTTGGACAAGTCCCTGCAGTTTTCATGACAATGTTTTTGGAAATGGTTTGCCTTGGCCTCCTTCTTCCCAAGGCTGAGAGAGAGTGACTGGCCCAAGGTCACCCAGCTGGCTTCATGCCTAAGGCAGGACTAGAATTTGCAGTCTCCTGGTTTGGTGCCTTTAATCACTAACCCAGACTGGCTCTTACCAACCTAATACCTAACTGACCAACTAGTTAACTTAAGAGAATGTGTCCACATGAAGGGTTACAGCCCAGAGCAAAGCACAGCAATACAGCTTTCGCCAGCCTGGGACTTCACTTTGAGACTGCAAGCTGTACAGATCCCAGCACATTGCTGCTAGCCATATACCAGTGGGGCATTCTGGGAGCTGCAGTCCCAACACTAGATCATTTTAGCAGTTACAATCTCAACAATTCTGAAAGCTACAAGACTGAAAAAAGATGATATAAGGAAAAAATAGCTCTTAATTCAGTGTTTCCAATCTGGACAACCCTTCAGATGTTTGGACTTAATTCTCAGAATTCTTAGCAAAGGCCAGGCTAGCTGGGGAATTCTTGGAGTTGAAGTCCACGTAGCTTAAAGTTGCCAAGGTTGAAAAAGGCTGGTCTAAGGTACTGCCTTGTTATTTTCTCATCCGTTAATTCTGTCTCCTTGCTAAACATGGCACTAGCAGCCTCCTTCATCCTTATGCCCCCCTTTGTCAACAACAGAGACAATTACCTGGTGGATTTCAATTTTTTTAAAAAATCAGTACTCATTTCAAAGTGCCCTTCGGAGAACAGAGGAGGATGCATTCAATAACATCAGCGGCTTGGAAAACGCACATGTTGTGCTTTTCTAGGTTAATCCAGTTGATCTAGCGCTAGTGTACAAATACACATACATATTTATAAACATTATGTGGGACATAAAAGCAAATCTTTCCTTTCCTTTCCTTTCCTCCTTCCATGCCACATCTCTCCTGAGCTATTAAAAGCTCTTGTAAGCTTTCCACCACAGCTTTGCTACTGTCATCACCATAATTAACTCATCTGTTGCTGTCCAACATGGCTTCACACCCCTTTACTCTATTAATTCAGGAACACAAAACCCAACAGGTGGATAACAGTGAAGAAAAGTGTCTATGGTACCACCACTGTCCATTTTAGGACAGATAATTGGCTCTTTCAAAATCTTCACCAAATTCATGGGCAGAGAAATTCCGTGGCTGATTCCTCCCAACTTGTCCAAGGAGAAATCCTCCGACATCTTCTCCAGGACAAAGCTCTCCCTTGGAAGGACAGAAGCAGGGACCATGGATGGATTCTTCTCAACTTCTCCAAGGAGAAACTCTCCAATATTTTCTCCCAGGCCAAGCTCAGCAGGAAAAGAGCACCACTACTGGAAAAGCTTTGTGGGATTTTGTCTTCCTTTCAGATTTAATGGGAAAATGTGCTAGAGCCTGCTAGGGAGAAGACTGTTGAGGAAAGAAGACATTCACACATGTCCCAAAAGATGTGAAGACACATCAAACCTCGGGCAACTTCACTGTTAAATAAGTGCCAGACCCCCCCTCCACTACTCTGAAAGCATTTCTGTTGTCAATTCTTTTCCTTTAAATTGGATGAGCACTGGTAGGAAACCAAAATATAGGAGAATGTCTCTGCCTACACCTACTTTTGCTTCCTGGGCCCCATTAGTCAGCTACTGCGTTACTCAGTAAATGAGGAAGCCCAACCCTCATGGCAAACGAGTTGCGTGCACTTAATTAAAGAGAACATTTGCACAATAAAAACCATCTCTCCTAGCCTAAGTGTGGGAAGAGAGAGAGAAAAAAAGAAGCTAAACAGGTAGGTGAGGAATCTCTTCAGAAAATGTTCTGGGAAGAGCAATTTATATGTGGATTGTTGCTTCTTTTCTTTAATTCTCACAGTCTGGCTTTTTTCTAAAAGACAAAGCAAGTCTCGTGTTAACTCCTTGGACCGTGAACCATATACTGTAGAGAAACTGGTAAAAAAAAAGGTCGCCAAAGGCTCAAATGTAATATACTTCCCCCCCCCCCCGATCCTGAGAGTTAAATTGACTGCAATAATCCGTGAATGAAATACTACCCTTGGGTAAAAATGCTGGTCTCTTTTCTGAGCGTGGCAGAAGAACCTAGTGCGAAGGAGATGAAAAGAGGCTTCAAAACGCCACGAAACTTGACAATGCTGGCCAGATGCATGTCAAACCTTTCCTTAACTCCTCACCCACATCCTGCAGCCAGGACTCTCTGTAACGTGAATGCATTTTTTTCTACAATATATAATTTGCTTTCGGTTCACAATGTAGCTAATAAGGAGTTAACCTTCCTTCCTCTTTATGTTACTGATCAGGTCTTATCAAGTTTGTTTTTTGGTTGTGTTTTGTTTCTGGCACTTTTTCTAAGATCTTCTTTGGGGGCTGGGATGGGGGAATATTCTCAATTTCAAATGGTTTTCAGAGGGTACCCCTCTGGCCTTTTAGAAAAAACCTAGCAAAGGCCCTTAAGATCCAATATTTATTGTAGCAATCGCTTTTTATGGCCTCCATGCACTTCTTTGTATCATAACTATCTCTATTGATTCTTAATTCATCTTGCTCAAGAGAGCTGATGCTATCCAAGCATTACAGGCCCAGCTATCTGCCTCTCCCATCCATGCTGACCTCATTTTATTATCTGCTATCTGGAATAATCTAAGATGTTTTGTTTTAAGCCAGATTTAGCTCTTTATTTTGGGCCAGAAGCATTCCTGACGGAAGATGACTTGCATAGATGCATCAAGTGTCGCCTATAACTTTCCAGCAAAAATTCTGCCAACCCCTCCTTGGGGGCTTGCTAAGAGGTCTTCTCACTCACCCAGCCCAAAGCCATAAACAGCTAAAATTGTCTTTCCAGCTCAAAATTATCTCCACTTGATTGAAATCTTCTATCTAGAATGTGAAACGCCTGCTTTGCACCTGAAGCGTCTGCGCTGAGCTCAAAACAGGGTGTTTTGAATCCGAGAATGTTTGGAATTCAAAATGCATTTGCACACCCCTAATTTCTAACAAAAGGTCATTTTTCCTAGCAAGAAATCTTATGCTGTAAGGATTCGTAAGGCTAGAGAATTTGTGTACACAAATGTGGCATGCAAATAAAATGTACTGAAACTATCGTGCTGATTACATACATTCAAAGAGTTGGTATCTTGGATTTCTAAAGGAAAGAAACGTATTCCTTCATAATTTTATCTCCGACAGTACCAAGAAAAGCAGGTACAGTAATTAAAAGTTTCAAAAATTCACCAATTTCCAAGGGACTTAAAAGTTGCACATTTGTTCTCTGCATCATTGTTTGATTCCCTTTCAGCAGATGCTCGTGGCATCACATTACTTCATTTTGCATTAAAGAATAGTTTGGTTATAAAATAAGTCAAGAGCTAATTTGAAAGGAAAATTTCTCAGTTGCAGAATCGAACAAAGAAAACCCTCCTGGATGTTTCCAGGTAAGGGTTTCATTTGGCAACCACCCCGAATCATTCCTAGATTTTGTAGGGAAATTAAGAAATGTTACTTCGATCTGTGTTTTCCCTTTATTTTTGCTCCCCACATAGTATTAATTAAGAGGAGGTGATGGAATAAATACACAAAGTATTTTTGGAATGCTAGCACTAGCATCTAATATCCATTTGGGAAGATTCTTGGCCGTTCAGCCCATCAAGTTAGGTGCGGTGACCAGAAGTGGTTCTCCAGGTCCTTGTTCATGTGGGACCTTAGAGATACAAAACCTAAACTCTCTTTGAGATACAGCCTTCTGGGGTGATGTTACCCTGTAATAAACTCCATCACAGGAAGGAACATTTTGCACTCTTGAATTTTTATTACCAACGCACAATGGTGAGATTATAAGCTGCCAACAAGAAAATTAAGCCCTTCTATGATGTTCCTGTATTGTTGCATTGCTTTCTCTTTCCCCCCCTCTTTTCTGTTATGGTTTGACTCTTTTTGTCTTTGTTCTGCTTGCTTTAAATAAATAAAGCAAGAACAAGGACAAAGGAAGAAGACTGGGATGTTCGAAAGCTCAAGGAACTCACAGACACTTGGAGGAACAGCAGCGGAAATCAAAACTCAAGGGCACAGCTCAAACCAGCATTCCCAAGCCTCTGAGTAAAGCTTCCTAGTGGCTAATTTTCTTTTTAAATTCCCACCTAATAGCTACTTATTCAGTAGTTTGAAATAAAATATCCACTCTCTTTACATCTTGTAAATTCCATTTTTCTGTAATGACCCTTTATAAACCTTCCACTGATGCAGAAGACCAAAAGGGGTACGAGGCTCCTGGGATAGGAGATCTGTAATGTACAGCCTCAATTCTGCTTGTGCCAAGATGTTCTGGTGAGTCTTTTAGAGAAAGCACTTACATGATACAAAGCCACGACTGCTGATACTGGATCCCGGTGACTGTTGCTGTCACCCCCTGAATTGTATCCGACAAGAGGTGGACTGTCCAAAAGACAAAAAAAAGAAGGCATTTTGATTCTATGATATATACAGTTGCATTTTAGTTCACCCAAAGTTTGCCAGAAAGCTAACATCTAATTGGGATATACAAAATTCCGTCTTCTGGTGTCTATGTCCCCCACTTCAAAATTCTGGAAAGCCTTTTTAACCAGGTTTCCTTGTCAGCCAAGGAGCAGAATCATCCCAGGATCAGCTGTAGGGATTTTCCAACATTACATGATAAGAGTGACAGCGGGGCTACCATGGACTGGAAATGTGGTCCCCCAGCGTGGTAATGTCCTTAGAAAAATTTGCCCCATCTTCCCAGCCTAGACAGAGGAGAAGATTTGCCCCAAACTGTACCATTCCCTTCTCTGGGGGTCCCCGAATCGGTGAATAAAGTGCTCATAATTTTGTCGAAGTTGCAGCTTGGCTCGGCGTTGTCAGAGTCTTCAGCAAAATGTTTTAACATCTCCCGCAAGACGTCGTCCAGAGAAGTGGCTGTCTCGTCCAGAATGATGCTGGCTCTGGCAAGGAAGCCATCAAGATCACGGTGGGCTCTGATCTCCTCCTCAAAATTCTTTAATTTTAGGTACTGCAAGAAAAAAGGGGGGAAGTTGGTCTACTGTGCGAGCCACAACATTGGAAAGCTCATTTTCCTCACCTGAGATTGAGTGCAAACATAGTGACAATAATTCTAACACTGCAACTTGTTTCTCTGGCTTCTGTTGGACCGAGGTCAAGATCCATTCTAGCGTTCTTGCTCACTCACTGTTTGAAAAATGGCTGGTGATGGGGATGTGCAAGTCAAAATCAGAGCAGTGGCAATGCAATTAAACCGTCTGGCATTTGCTCCGAGCTCAGCTGTTGAAAAACTTATATTTGTATTTCTGAAAAAGGATCTGAGTAAATACTAGCCCGTACTGTACATATTCCTCCAAAGCTATCTGTATTTAATATGATAATCACTGCAATGCACAAATGTAGAGAAAGGGGAAGTTTGAAACTGTACTAACAAAAGAAGGATTCCAAAGAGGGAATGACAATTTCTATTGCCTTTTTTCTCAAAAAGTAGCTCTTTCAGACCATATTTGTTGCCTTGAAATCCAGCTTATAAACATCTGGTTCATAACAAATGAGTTGAAACAGAATAGAACGTCAGAGTGCTTGTAGAAATAATCTACATGTATTATTTACTCCTTCAGTGGCTTCCTATGGTTTCCTTCACTGAAAACAGCAACATATGTAGTAAAACCCAAGTTTGTAGGCAGAAGCCTGCAAACGCAATGGAGAAACATCTATTTTTTTCCTCCAGCGAAAACAACAAATTCTTTCAGAGCCCCATTCTCCAGCTACGAGGACTAGAAGAGAACGTTTTTAGTTATGGTTGCAACTTTACATTATTACAACATATAGACATGCAGTAGTGAAACTGTGCTCACTGACTGCGCTTCAAAGCTGAAATAAAGGCAGGAGAAAAACTAGCCACATCTCAGAATTCATAACAGATGGGATCCCTCAACCAACTGATGGGTATTTCTAAGGGGCATTTCCAATTCAGTTCTCTCTTTTCCTGACAGTTACCACCTGCGTATTCACCATTCTCAATGCAACCAGAATTTTACATTCTGCAGTATTTGGCTTTTTTTCTAAATAATGCTTTATTGATGAACCCGCCTTCCCTTTTTCTTTCCTTCCTCCCTCATCATTGATTTTCCTTCTCTCTCCTTCCCATGTTTATTTTGACAGATATATGAAAGTGCAATCAAGAAAAAAGAGAAAAGAAATAAAGGAACAAAAATAAATAAATAAACAGAAAGGGGATTTAAGAGGTACATAAAATTCAATTAAGAATTTTCAATGTGTAACATTAGATTAGTACTGCATATAAAGATGATCTCATATCAGTTTAACACTTTAAAGCTTAGTAAATTTTCCTTCCTTCCTTCCTTCCTTCCTTCCTTCCTTCCTTCCTTCCTTTCCTCTTTCCTATCCCATCTCTTCCTTTGTTTTCCCTTCCATGACTGCTACAATCAACCAATTGTAAGTGGAATACAGGAGACACAATCAAAGCCAGTTACCTATGCTTTATTTAACAAGGAAAGTACAGTAATATACAATAAAAACTCATACATACATACTTACCCTAAA